ACCCGCCGGGAATAAAATCTGGGTCCCATCCTTGCCCCCGACGGGGTTCGGGTTTCCCCGCCCGCCCTCGCCCCCGCTCCTATTTTTTTTTCTTCTTTTTTTCTTTTAAATAAATATGAACAATTTTAAAACAAATAAAAGAAAAGTAAATTAATATAAATTTTTACATATAAATATTTCTAATTTTGGTTTATATATATCTAAAAATAATTTTTTGATTATATTATTAAGCGGGACGGGGGCAGGGGCGGGTATGGGGGCGGGGGGGGGGGGGGGATTAACATCCCCGTCCCCGCCCCCGCCCCCGGTTTTATCAATCGGGGGAAACCCAAACCCGAACCCGATAAACACGGGTTTTCCCCATCCAAATCGGGGCGGGTTCGGGCGAATACCCACGGGACGGGTTAGATTGTCATGCCTAGTTGGAGTCGCTGAGTTGGTGCATCATAGTATATTACCAGGAAACACAAGATCCAAGTCTGAGGAAGGTAATGGTTGATGTAGTTAAATTCAACAAAGGAAATCAATGGGAATTTGTGTCTGTGGAGAGGGAGGGAGTGGTTGAACCACATGGATATAAAAAATAGAGGAAAGCAGATAGAGGGAGAAGGATAAAAAGTGGAGAGAGAAAGTTCTCAAACACTGTGCTACCTACTTTTTTGTTTCAGTTCTTTGTTCAATTGTAAATCCACCATAAATATACTGAATTCATATAATATTAATATCAGAATCCATAGAAAAATTCACCATTATCAAGCGTTTTGATCCAGTATCAATCCACTGGTATCAAAGCTCTTAATCTTGGGAGATGTGGATGATGCATATGGGGATAGAAGCATCAAGTTGTACATTGGGAAAATTTGGTGATTTCAACTGCAAATTTATTGACATTACAATGTATCTAAACAGCAAGCTATTACACAAACAAGGATAACCTTATTTAGATCCTGGAAGGTATAGGAAATTAGTTGGGGGTATTCTTCTGTAGATAGCATGGCGAGTTGATTTATGCAGTCTCCCAAGGTATCATCAGTGTGTAATTTTGTTCAAGTATGCTCTGGACCAAGGATAGAAAACAAAGGCAATGCTCAAGTTGAGGGATACTAAGCAGATTAGGCTGACTTGCCTTGGTAGCTAGTCTACCTTAGGATACTGTGCTTTTGTTGGCAATAACCTTTTATCTTGGGAAAAAACTAAAATCTGGTTCTGGTTGCAAGATCCAGTGCAGAGGCTGAATAACAAGCTATGGTAAAGTCCACTTGTGAAATTATATGGAGTGGGAAAAACAGTTATTTCACGGGTTAAAAGTTGGGAAATGTTGATCATATGAAGTTCCATTATGATAATCAAACAGCTATATTTCTTGCCTCACATCTAGTCTTACATAAGGATCAAATGCATATAAATTAATAGTCACTTTTTCCGAGAAAAGAATTATTTCCAAGGATCGCCATTAGTCTGTTGACTCTAGTAATCAATTTGCAAATATCCTTACAAAAGTCTCTTCGGGACCTTGAAGCCAGATTTTATCTGTAATAAGCTTGATGCATATGATTTATATTCTCTACCTTGAAGGGGAGTAATCTAAATCATGATGTATACAGAATCATGCTGAGAATTTCCTCGAGCAATTCAAATTTTCTTCATTTTTCAAGTTAAACAAATGCCAGCTCCAAATTAACCTATTCCAACTTTCAAGTATTAATCCTAAATCCTAACAGATAGTTTATAGCTTACACTTTATACAAACAACCCATGTAAAGATGACATTAGACTTTTATGGAAGAACATCTATTACAAACATTAAATATTATATAATTAAAACAAATGCAGAAAAGGGGCATTATTATGTTCTGATAAAAAATAAAAATAAAAAAAAGCATATTGGTAAATTCTTTACAATTGCTGTACTCACTTTCTCTTGATCCCTGTTCACCAATAAATCCTGCACTTTTTGGTTCACTTACAACCTTGTTCAACTGAAATTAAACCCCAAAAAAACTTTAATCTTCATATCAGTATGCATAATATCAACGTGACAATATTCAGTTGCTCATCTAATAAAAATCTCAATCATTCAAAGAGAGAATGATATATCATAATTTAACAGCCTTACCTTCCAAAAAGTAGTACTGAGATCATCAATATCGGAAAGTGATCTTAGATCCTCAACCTGCAGAGTGGAAGAAGTTAGTGGATAAAAATTATCCACAAAATTTAAATGACGAGTAAATATTCATTAATTTTTAGGAGGGGAACTATGCCAACATGTTTATATTTCAAATTATCCTGGAAACAAAATTTGAAGTCAAAGTCAATAGAATAGTGGAAATTAACCTCTTCTCTATGGAGAATGAACTCCTCCTCATTCGACTCAGGCAAATCATCATCATCTTCTAAACCTCCCAACTCAACTTCTTGAACGACAGTATCTTGACCAAAAAATGCATATTGTGATGCATCAAAAACTGCACCCTCTGCATAGAGGAAAAAAGTTTCAGCCATTAGAAATGTTTGACATGAAAAAAACAGGATGCACTGTTGGACAAAGCAGAGAATTCCCATGTGACTGAAACATAACAGCATGTCAAAAATTACACAAGTAAGACAAAACAGCTATTTCTATAATATGTAAAGCAGAGAAATAGCACAATAATCTTAATTTTGAAAAGCATGAAAACATTATTGGAAGTGCAACAAGTCTTGCACTAAACTGGAGATGTCTTTGAAAATAAAATTCCTATAACCAAGCCTTGACTAACAGAGAAACTGTTCTTAACACAGCACTATCTGGATTTTGGCTCATTATTGCCCTGAATCAGCAGTCAACAACAAGAACACAACACACGCCAAAAGATGACAACAAACATTAACAAAAAAAAAAAACTCCAATTCAAATGGAATAATCAGCACGGTAAAATTTGCAAAACCATCAACTATAGCTGAAGGTTTTGATTCAGCTACTCAACAGACCATGGTAGAACTTAAACCTGAAGCTTCAAAGGCTGCTGTGTGTGTAAACTGAGAATAACAACCAATCATCAATAGAAATGCAAAAAATAAGAACTCCTTAGCAACAATATCCAGTAATACAAGATCAATTTTCCTATAATTTAAATCTAATTACTGGTTAAACCAAACCAGATCTACACGAACAAACAGAATCAGAAAAACACAAACCAATATCATCAAAAAAAGGATTAGGGAAAAAAACAAAAAACAAAATTGAATCCCAGAAGATGAAGCAAACCTGTGGGAACACTCCCCAGTTGCCTAAGATCCTGTGTGTTGGGAACTCCCCCAACATCACCCCCAGCTCCAAACCCATCCATACCCACCATGAAAACGAAGCCGAAGAAAACCCAAAAAGAGAAAAATAGGAAAAAGAAAAAGATTCAAAGAGGAGAAAAAAGAACCCAATACGAAAAGATTGAAACTTGAAACACTATTTCTTTCTCAAACTAAAACTCGAAACTTAACCCGAAGAAAAAAGGGAAGATGAAGAAGAAAAAAACGTGTGCAAAATAATTGAGCACATGAAGAAGGATTATTTGGATCAAAGCCAAAGAGAAGAGAAGGCGAAAAGAAGATAAAGAGAGAGAAAAGGGAACCCTACAAATACAAAGGAGATTGAGATTTATTTCAGAATTGTTTTTTGTGCCAAAGAACCCTAAAACCGGAACCAGAATACGACTAATCGATAACAACAAATAAATTTAACAGCAGTTATGGATGCAGATAGCATTTAATTTAATAAAATACAATAACCTGTGAATTAATTTATTTATATTTGAGTTTAATGTATACTACTATTTTATTTTCTGCAATGTAGATTATAGTTGTGTTACAAAAAAAGGATTGTAGTTTATAGTTATTTATTTTATATAACTAAAATTTTTAATAAATATATTTTAAAAAATATAAAACATGTCAAAATAAATATTTATAAATATATAAATCAATTATTATATATTAAATCACATTTTGTTATTGTATAATTGTTTCACTATGTCACTATCAAATAAGTTATTTGTGACTTAGGAAACTAAAATAAGAAATTTTGAAATTATTGAGAGCAAAAATATCAATTTTAAATTTATGAAACAAAAAGTATATTTAATCTAATAAAAAAAAATTAAAAGATGAGACATCAAGTATATCATTAACAATACTCATTTAAGATAATTATTTGGTGGCCAACTAAGTTCTCCAACAAATATTAGTTATCAACAAAGTCAGTGAATATTTTATACCAATAATATGGTTATCAAATAAGAATGATAGTTATTCTAATTTATATAGAATAGTTAAAAAGACTCGAATGAGTATATGACTCATTAGTCTTAATTCAACATTATTTTATTCTTATTAATTATTAGCATTAGAGTAATGGTACTTAATTTATATTTATACTATTAATGAATGTGTCTTTTTGATATACACATTTTGTTGACTATTTTGTTCTTTAGTTTCTCTCATGTATTTTTTTATTTAGTTTTTATTCTTTTCTTTTTTCACTTCTTCCTAATATTATTTTCAAACTTCTCACATCATCTAAATAACTACTCAAAATCACTCACATCCTCTAATTAATTGTCAACCAACAACAAATATTTAACTTTAAGTTTTTTTTATCATTTAATTTATTTTATTTTTAAAAACTACACAAAAGCACAGCATGTCTTTTTTATACTAGTTATTAACAAGGATGATATGCATTGTTTTTACATTTTTTAAAACTATTTTTCCTTAATTACCAAAACACTCGTGGTTTTTTAACATTTTTTTTATTATTCAGTTTTTATTCTATTTCTTTTTTTGTAAATTTGTTTTTCAAACCTCTCACACTCTCAAATTAACCATTCACTTTTACAGTAATTAATTTTTTATATCTCACTTTTATCATTTATTTTATGTTTATTTTTTTTAAAACAAAATACATAAGACATGAAATATCTTTTTTATGCTAATAATGATGATGATAGTTCAAAATATAATATATCTATTATCAAACAATTTATAAATTAGAATAAGACAAAATACGATAAGATGATATAAGGTAAGTGTATTTAGTAAAACTAGCTTATTAGTTAGCTGAAACTTACGAGCTATAAATTGGTAGTAGAAAAGCTAAAAGTTTATAAGCCAATCGATTAAATTAAAAGTGTTTGGTAAGATTAACTTATAAGTGTCTATCTCATTAACAAATTTCCTACATCATCTTTATTGTTTGAAATACTTTATCAAAAACTATTTGGCCGGTTTCCTTGTTACAAACAGCTAAAAGTTTTTTTATGTGTATGTTTTCCCTTCCTTATATCATATATAACAAAAAAAAATCAATATAGATCCTAAGAATATGTCCTTCTAGGCTATTCTATAACTCAGAGGCCTTAAATGTCTATCTTTTGATGGAAAGATCTATATATATATATATATATATAGATGTTGTTTTTGATGAACAAAAATTTCCTTCTCAAAACCAAAACAAACATAAATCCCATCACCAAGAAATATCATTTATTTTAAATACCTCTTACCCTTACCCAAGCTCAATCCATTAACCCTCCCTCTACACCACCCACCTTTTCCACTAATACTACCTCTGAATCTTGATCTTAAACAAATATACATACATCGTTTAATACAAATAAAAATACTAATACTAACAACACCTCCTCACCACGTACTTGTACCATCCCTCATAATACTTGCCTTATGCAAACAAAAATCAAGATTTGGAATATCACATCCTAGACTTTAACCAACACTTCTCTTAACCCACATAGAACCAACATTATCCAAAAAAGTTTTAGTCAATCTTGTTTGGCTTGATACTATGAAAGTTGAATATGAAGTTTTGTTAAGAAACAATACATGAACCTTAGATCTACCTCCATCTAACAAAAATTTTATTGACAACAAATGAATTTTCAAAGTTAAGGAAAATTTTGATAGATCTATAAATAAGTATAAAGGGATATTGGTTGTTAAAGGGTTTCATCAAACCATTAGTTTTAACTACAATAAAACATTTTTCTTATCATTAAACTTGTTATTGTCCGCATTATCATAATTTTAGTTGTGTCAAATTATTAGGTGATCAAACAACTTGACTATATTTTTTCTCTTAATAATGATCTTGGTGTAGACTCTCGTTGTAGGTAAAGGAATTTATCTCTTGAATTATTAAGAAATTAAAACAAGTATCATATTAGTGAGTTAAAAAAATTATACAATCCTCCAATTAAATATAAGTTTTAAAGGATATACATAATATATTAAAAACATAAATGAAATATACAAAACACATATTTAAGTACTAGTTTTTTTTTTGTTTAGAAAAAAAATCGTGATTTAAAATCCTATCATATGAATATTATTCTTGAAAGGAAAAAAATTACAATGTGATAACACTTTTTTATCATATTAGGAAAAGCATTTTTAAAAATATTATCTCTATGTTATTTGTTTAATCAAAGATATTATTTAAATGATAGTCATAAACTAATCTTTCAAAATACATAAATCTATCTAAAAGATGAACTCTGTCCATAGATGTTTTCCATACACATGAAAATTGAACTTCATATCCTAACCACATTTTTACTCATTAACTACCTCATTGAGTATGTTTGAGAGACTATAATCTTTGATTTCATCTATTTTTTAAGAAAAAAGGTTTTTAAATAAATTTTTTGTCTTTGATACAACTTAAATTTGTAAAAAAATTTCCCCTTAAAAATCAACTATTTTTATAAAACTAAAATTTGAAACTTATAATCATTTGTCAACAACTTTTAATAATTTTTTAAATTTTTTTTGAATAATTAATAATTAAAAAATTATTGGTATTTTTTTATGTCTGACTTTGATAGAGAATCAAAAGAAATAGTTAGGAAGAAAAAAAAGAAAATAAATAAGAGAGAAGACAAAATAGTAAGAGGGAGAGATGAAGAGAAGATATATATATATATATATGATAAATAAATAAAATAAAATAAAAATTACTAAACATAAATTCATAGTAAAAGGGTTCACAAATCTCTCAACAAAACTCTTTAAGTTTTAAAAGAAAATATAACTAAACAATATATAAAAAGTGTCTTAGAGAGAGAGAGAGAGAGAGAGAGAGAGATGACATAAGAGACATAGGAGAAAAAGAAAATAAGAGATAAAAATTAGAGAGAGAGAAAAAAGAGAACAAATAGGGTGAGATAGAAAAAAGGCGAAGAAGAGAGAAAACAAAGTATGAAAAATGAAAAATTAAAAAATAAAAGAATACATAAGAGTTAAAAGAAAAAGAATAAATAAATTAAAAATATATAAACAAGATAAATATATATATATATATATATATATATACATACAGATTCTCACTTTTAAAAATAATAAAATTATATTATTTAAAAAAATTTCACAAGTATTCATATTTTAAATTATTCATATATCTTTTATTCAAATAAAATATCACATTTAAAATTCTTTAAAAATAAATTAAATTACTCAATTTAGATTCTTTATCCAAATTCGTTTTAAACAGAATTTTACTTTATTAAAATAAACTAATTCTTACCTTTCCCAAACACCATTTACATAACCTCAAGCGTGTGGTTCAGTGGTAAGGATTGATCCACCTTTAAGCAAGGTCATGAGTTCAAATGCGTTAAATCTTGAGACCAGCTATCTCACCTTTTAAGATATCTCCCTCGTAACGAGAAAATTAGTCACCGAGAGTAAATACTCCAGGGACAAAAAAAAATAAAACACCATCTATATCTAGAAAGACAAGTTTTACTCATTAGCTAATTTCTACTGTTTTCTAGATTTAAATTTTATAAATTATTTGGGCTAAATAACTTTTAATGCCTACACGCCCTATTTCCACGCGAGTCCTGATAACTTCCTTTTTTCTGTTTTAATATCTTTTTCATTTTATTTTAAACCCCATTTAATCCTATTATTGCTTAATGACCTCGAAAAACAAATTAAACGCATAAATATCACCCGTATAAATATGTAATCCCACCCTTATGGCAAGGACCAGTGGCAAAAAAACAAAAGATAATAAAAAAGCTAAAAAATATCCCTACACTACAAAGACTAAAAGGTTAATTATAATTACACCATAAATTGGAATAAATGTTAAACACTCGTTACAGATATACATTAAACCTCCCTAGTCAAAATAATTAGGTACCAAGCAGCCTGACTAAATCATGTCAAAAATCAATATAAAAGAAATCAACATATTTTCAACCATCCATCATCAAAAGTGGCATGTTAATTTCATTCCTCAAACCCCCCCCCCCCCCCCCCCCC